GGCTACAGAACAAGTTAGGGTTCAGGCTGAGCTGAGACTCTGCCTCAAAAAAAAAAAAAAATAAAATTCTCTCTCCTCCCTCTCCAGCACGAATCTTGGAGAGGACACTGGGACATGGCAGGCAGGAAGAACCCCAAACTCCAGCTCTGCCCCTGAACTCATGGCAACCCCACCCCCTCAGCCTCCGAAGCACTAGGATTTCAGTCTACTACTATGCTTGGCTAGCCCTACCTTTGTTCCGCTTTTCACTGTGGTGGGACTTCCCACTCCCCACACAGCACAGTCTTAGGGTCAGCTTGGGGCGCAAGACTCTTCCTCCATAAACCTGAGGGAGCTCCTGAGGTGGGTGAGAGAGAAGGCAACACAGTTGTCACATTCGCTCGTACCCAGAAGAACAGCCAGAAGTCCAGACAGCATGCTGGAGGCCAGCTCAGGCAGGGCCCTTACCTCTGACCCCTAGAGACAACACCCCACCCCTACTGACAGGACTCTAAACCGATATGGTAGAACAGGAGTAGGGGTGAGGGTGGCTAGCATCTGCTGCTGACTTTGAAGCCCTTGCCCAAGAGGAGGGTGGAGGCAGGGTTATCTCAGGGTGGGAAATGACCCATTCAGGCAACTCCAGCCCTGGCCTCAGGGGCACCGTAAACAAATGACCACAGAGGAGCATGCACAAAAGACACTACCAAAGTAAAAGCAGGGCTGGAGAGATGGTGCAGTGGTTAAGAGCACTGTTGCTCTTCCAGAGGACCCAGACGCAGTTCCCAGCGCCCACATAGTGGTTCTAAGCCATCTGTAACTCTAGTCCCAGGAGATCCAACACCCTCTTCTGGCCTCCTTGGGCACTACAAACATGTGGTTGGTACCAATATTCAGGCAAAACACCCAGGGACCGGGTGGGGGGGGGGGAGAGACCTATACCACACCTGGCAGATGTGACCCTACCCATGCCAATTCCAAAGCGCTTCTGAAACCTGCCAGAGTTCAGAATTTGAAATCCTGTGAAGAAGCACCAGACATACAAAAACTAGGGGACATTCTACAAATGACTATGCTGTACTCTTCCCAATGCCAATGTTATAAGCCAGGTGTAGGCACATATCTGTAACCCCAGCAATCAGGAGGCTGAAGCAAAGGGTTTGCCCCGAGTCTGAGGATAGCTTGGGCTACAAATTGAATTCCAGGCTAGCCTAGACTACATACTAAGGCTCAGCCTTAACAAAATACAAATAGGAGCTGGGGTATAGCTCAACACCTCATAGACTGGGTATAGTGAGTGACATACACACCTATGATCACCACACTAGGAAAGAGGATCCGACTCAGAAACAAAAACAAAAATAAATGAACGAAATAGTGAAGGCTGGGCTAGCAGACGGCTCAGGGGCAAAGGAGCTCGATGTCCAAGCCTGGTGACTGAATCCTCTGAACCCACGGAAAGATGGAAGGAGAGAGCTAAGGCCACAAAGTTCTCTTGTGACGTCCACACACAGGTGCCTGGGTGCACGTACCCCTCTACCAATAATAATAAGTAAAAATGAAATTTAAAGTCAGTGTTATAAGGAAGATTGATGGGGAAATAGAAGATTTAGAAGGGGATAAAAAGACATGAAAAACAGGTCAACACATAGTTCAGAATTTCCCCCTAGAGGACATGGTGAGATCACAGTCAAAAGTTCAGGGAAGTCCACTAATCAGGTGACAGTGCCATTCTGTGAGTTATGTGTCGGAATGTGTACCTCTGCAGGAAAGCCACAGACCTAAGCATGCATTCATGAGGCAGCATTGTGTTTATTAAAGAACAGTAATGGGGGGGGGGAGCAGAGAGATGGCTCAGCGGTTAAGAGCACTGGCTGCTCTTCCAGAGGTCCTGAGTTCAGTTCCCAGCACCCACATGGTGGCTCACAGCCATCTGTAATGAGATCTGGTGCCCTCTTCTGGCCTGCAGGGATACATGCAAGCAGAACACTGTATACATAAAAAATATATAAATCTTTCTTTAAAAAAAAAGGAAAAGAATGGGAGAAGATAAAATGCTAACAATTGCAAAGTATAAAAATGTTTTGTTAAATTTATTGTTATCCCAGCCAGGTAGAATCATAAACTCTGGGTCAGAATTAGCATCTACCACTTGGGCCATGTCTTATGTGAGTGATGGTTGGACTACTGGTGATCTATGATCTAATAATGGGGTAGTGCTTTGTAAAGGCTTCAGGAGACAGATGATGAGGCCTCAGCCGTCCTCCAATGGGGAGAAAAGTCACTGGGAACGGGACCGTGTTAAGTGCTAACAGGAAGGCTCTGAGCCCACATGGTTGCTTTCCTGGGAACTTGTGTGTGTGTGTGCGTGTGTGCGTGTGAACAGGACTCTCCGGATTCTGTGTTTCATGTCTGTAGTTGGTTTTAGAGATAGGATTTCTCAGGTCTGGGGAGGTAGCACCAGCTTCAATCCCCAGCATTTCCAGAAAAGAAGTAAAAAAAGATTTCCTTCTCATGTCACATTCTATTATACCGTTAAAAACATGATTTGGAGCGTTGGCCACCCGCATTGACAGCTCTACAGCATTTTGAATAGGAAGGAGAGGAAGTCCCTTCACTTACTGCTTCCCCTATTGTTGGACTTTGAAGGTAGCTCTGACTTTCCCTATGGCAACTGCACCTCAGGAAGTCCTGAGTACACACAGCTTTGTGGGAGCTTTGCATTTTCTTCTCAGCCCAGGCTCCAGGCAATAGGATTACTGGATCGGAAGGTCTGAACCAAGTGCTTCCTTCCTACAAGGATTCCTCTCCTGTTTACAAACCAATAAAGCAGGCATTTCGGCTTCTCTAACATTTCCTTCTAATTTAAGGTGAAAATGCCACTCCATTATTCAATCAATTCCAGTAAACTTCTTGGGGGGGGGGGGCGTCCCAAGCAGCCCAGGCTGGCAGGCTCACCTGGAGTTTAAGCAGAGCTGGAGCAGATTTTGAACCTTGATTCTACTGCCTCTACCACCCCTGGGACTGCAGGAATGCGACATCAACCCCAACTGATCTTAACTCTTTACAGAGATAGTCACCATTTGTGCTGTCAACACCTAAAAATCCTTTCTAGGCCGTAAGGCTTGAAGAAGAGGCCTGACTTTTAGTAGTCAGTGGGAAAGTGGGTGTGGTAGCACACACCTTTAATCTCAGCACTCATGTGAAGAGGAGGTTCCAGGCCAGCCAGGGCTATATAGGGAGGCCTTGTTTGATAACCAACTAAACAAACACATAGTGGGTAGCCAGGCAGTCTGTGTCCAGGGAGCAATAACCTAATACACCAAGACTATATTGTACAGAGGCCTTAGCAACTGTTATGGGAGGATCTGGGTCATAAAAGAACCTGTTGGGTAGGTTCTAGCAAGCCTCTTGAACGCAGCCTTCCCTAGAAAGACTCCCCCAAACATCACAGAACCTTCTTGGACGATCCCTGATGAGAACTGGGCAGAACATTCCCAACTCTGGTTGGCTAGAAGAAGCATCTTCTGTAGGGGCTACAGAGAAGGTTCTGTTCCTTTGCTTAAAAATAGACTGTACTCGTCAGGTTTTAAAGAGGAGAGGTTCTTGCAGAGAAAGGCCCAGCCTTGGGCCCCTTTTCAAGTGCCAGTGACCACCCATGGAAGACTCCGGGTCTCTGACACAGCTGGTGTCTGGTGCGTGTCCCAGGGGACAGAAACTGCAGTCCCCTTTTAGTAGGTCCCTGCAATCAGAATGACATGGTACAAAGATTTTGCCTGAGCAGCTAAGAGGTGGGCTTCTTCCGTTTCTTTGGGACTTTCTGGTCATCTTCCAACGGTTACAGGAGCAGGAGGTCAAGTGACTCTTCCCACAGCTCTTGCAGCTTGTCTCAGCACGTGACAACCAGGTGACCTGTCTCTGTCAAAGTGCTGAGTCCCCTCTCAGCCCTTGGAAAGGACCTATAATTAGGGCAGACTCTGGGGCTTTGAGCTCGGGCAAGGAGACAAGGAAACAGCCTTAGGTTCCTGCCCAGGGCTCAGCAGTGATACTTTCTTCCTGACAATCTTGAACACAGGTCAGGGCAGGGCAGGGCAGGGCAGGGCAGGGCCCTGGTTTCCGAACTCTCAGAGACTCCAGGTGGCTGACAGCCCTGATCCTGACCAGCCCTTTGCCACTGACCTCAATTTTGAAGATCCTAAATTCTAGGCAGCCAAGTCCTCCTACAAGGGGCTGGAGGAAAGGCGTGGTGCCGGAAAGCACTTGTTGCTCTTGTAGAGGATCTCGGTTCCATTTCTAGCACTCACACGATGGTTCACAACCACCTGTAACTCCAGGTGGGGGGGGCTGGTGCCCTCTTATGACCTTCGAGGACACATGTATACATACATACATGTGATGCACACACATACATGCAATCAATACTCACACATAAAATTAATAAACCTTAAAAAAATAAACTTAGAAGAAAACTTCTGGTGACTGGGGCCCAAAGTCTATAAATGGCGTGAGAAACTTAAAATGCATACCTTTGTGTATTTTATAGTTGAGACATTGAAGTCTGGGAGTGGCGGGGTGCACCATGCCCACTGTGGTATAGAATTGGAAGTTGTGGGCTCTTCTTCGGCCAGGACAGACACCTAACTCATCTCCCAGCCTTTTCTCCACAGGCAGCAGAGACTGCCAGCCAGGTCACAGTGAAGAAGGAGGCAAAAGGCACAGTGTCGTCACCCCAGGTTCCTTTCTAGGTTGCAGGGCTCACCTTTGTGGGAAAGCTCTGCACCCACCCCCACCTTGCCTGAAGGTTCCAGCTGGGGCAGACAGTGACCACCCTCTTTAGAGCCACTCAGACAGGTTGGCTCCAACCTCTTGGGCAAGCCGGGCATCCTTCTAAGGTTCCGGGATGCCTGGGGGCATGACTGCCAGTAGGACAAGCCACTTTGCCACCTAGATGGAGGATGCAAGGCCAGGGACCAGTAAGCCTGGGTCTGGGGCCTGGAGGCAAATCTACATCTCCTACTCACCTGACGAGGTGAAAAGCCCAGAGTAGGTGTTCCGTGCTCGGCCCGCGCGCAGCTCGGACGATGCTGAGGTACAGATAGAGGGCGATGGCCACCGTCCAGAAGAAGGAGCTGGTGTTGGCAAAAGTAGAGAGCGCGCCCTGAAGCACGCAGTCCCACGAAGGGCCCGCAAAGTCCTGCAGCACCCCGTAGAAGTACGAGGCAGCCGAGAGCAGGTCCGCCAGCGACAGGAAGAGTAGCAGGCGCCGCGCCCGGCTACGCAGGTCAGGCCACAGGGCGTGCGTGGCCACCAGGAGGCCCGAGCCCAGCGCTGACAGCACGCACGACAGCAGCACCACGGCGCGCTCCCACGGCAGCAGCTCGGTGGGAGGCGCGGGGGAGGGCATGGCCGGTTGGGGACCAAAGGCAGACGGCCAGAAAGCACAGGTCCAAGGGTAACGAGAGGTCGAGGCCAAGCCGAGCCCGCGGTCGCCTCTGTCTGGGCATCTAGGCGTCCAAGGCTCGCGTCCCCACGGGTTCCTCTTGCGTCCCAGCCCCGCCCAGGAGTCTATCGACTATCCAGCCACCAGTCTCATCCCGATGCCCTCCACGCCCTGCCCCTGAGCTCTCTAATCCCCGCCCCTGAGCTCTCCCGGTTCCACCCCTGCTCTTTCTAATCTCCGCCCCTGCGCCCTCCACGCCGTCCCCTGAGCTCCCTAATCCCTGCCCCTGAGCTCTCCACGCCCCACCCCTGGCTTCCTCATCCCCGCCCCTGCGCTCTCCAAGCTCAGTATCCCGGAGTCTGCCTCCTGTCTCAGCGCTGTCTTCCACACTCCGCCCCGGTAGCCTCAGCATCCAGCCCTGGCGCCCGGCCCTGGGTCTCCTTCCTCAGAAACAGCCCCTACACCTTGCTCCTAAATTCTCCACTTCTGACTCCCCACGCTCTAGAGCCCAGCTCCTGCGTCCTGCCCCTGCCGGCATCCTGCCCTCGTTTTACCCCCGCCCCGCCCCCGAGCACTCCACGCTCCGCCCCTGCGCACTAACACAGGGAGCTCCGGGCTCCAGAGCTCCGCCTCTGAGCTCCCTACGTCCCGCCCCGTGGCTCCAGGGCACCGCCCAGCCCTTTCAAGGCTTCTCTCGTGATTCCCCACCCGCCCCACTCGCGCACTGCTCCACCCGAATGCTCATTCCGCACCGCGCTCACATGCTTTCCCACGCCTCTGCATCCCTACACCTCTCTCCTCCCCGGCAGCTCCCGGTCTGGTCCCAGTCGTTGCCTTCCGCCTCCCACAGCTGCTCTAGAAGGCTAGCAAATGGCTAGGACATCCCGCCCTGGCGGGGAGAGGAGAATGACATCTTTAGGGCTACTGTTACTTTCCTCGGGGTCAGCCTGCTTACGTGTGTTGGGACCGGGAGGGGCGATTGTTGGAGACATTCTTTCCGATGGTGGCAAAATCAGGTCCAGAGTGTGACCCACATTCCTGAAGCCTGGGTACGTGAAGTGTTCCCAAGGTCTGTCTGTGGTGGTGATTTGGAGAAGTTTCTAACTTTTGTTACAATGAACGTATTGTTTTTGTGGATCTGGGAATGGAACTCAGGGCTTCACACATCCCAGTGAAGTGTTCATCTACTGAACTTTTAGTTCCTAGTTATTCTATATAGCTTATTCGGTGCGATTTTAAGAATACATTTTATTATTTTACATGTGTAGATATTTTGTCTGCACGGATGTCTGTGCACCACGTGCATGCAGTGCCTACAGCGGCCAGAAGAGGGCATTATACCCCCTACACCTTGTGGGCGTTGGAACTGAACCCAGTCCTCTGGAAGAGCAGCAAGTGGTCATCTCTCTAGAGGTGCGATTTTTAAGGAATGAAACATTAGTGCCTGTGAGGTGGCTTTGAGTAGTGGCCCTGGCAAAACAAGACAGATGGGGTTTGATTCTCAGGACCCAGTTAGAAAGAGATCCACTCCTGTAAGCAGTCGCCTTACCTCTACACATGCGCATAACACACTTCTCCCACACCCCCACTGGACACATTTAAAAACAAGTAATTTAAAAAATGTAAAGTGAAAAGAAGAAGTAAACGAAACATTAGATCCTGGCTTATAGAGTCTTTTTCTTGTTTGAGTGTTTTGTATTTTTCAGGGGTGGAGATACTTTTACAGAAGACCCAGTTTTCGCTGCCAGCTCCTATGTTAGGTGGCTCACAGCCGCTTAGCTCTTCAGGGGCCTCTGGACTCTGAGGGCACTGTACTCGCCTGCACATAAGCTTGTGTGGACACACACACACACACACACACACACTCTGGAAATAAAATAATTTTTTAAAATGTTTGCATCTTTAATTGTCATAACATTGCCCCTTAGCAGGGCAGTGGTGGCGTCAATCCTAGCACTCTGGAGGCAAAGTAAGAAAGGTATCTGTGAGTTCAAGGCCAGCCTGGTCTACAGAGCCAGTTTCAGGACAGACTCCAAAGCTACAGAGAAACCCTGTCTCAAAAAACAAACAAAACAAAACAAAAAACCATTGACCCTTTTAGCCCTATAAGTCAATGGGTCTTAGTACATTTGCGAGTTTGTGCAACCATGGTAATTATCTAGTTCTACAGCATTTGCTCACCCTCAAGTACTTGGTCCGGAAGGATTGATCAGCAATTAAGAGCACTTGCTGCTCCTGCGGAGTGCCTGGGTTCAGAACCCAGCACACACATGGGCTCACAGTGACCGGGGGTTGGAGGCCTCTTCTGGGCTCCTCCAGCCCTGCACACACAAGGCACACATGAACAAATGCAGGTACACTCTCTCACACACATAGAATGCACACACACAAAGCCTGTTCCTTTTTGAGGAGAGACGGAAAGGGAGAGGATCCGGATGGTAGGGGAGGGGTAGCGGACTAGGAAAAGCAGGGGGAGAGGGAACAGAAACCAGGACATATTGTGTGAGAAAATCCTTTTTCAGAAAAAAAAATTATAGTAGATATTTGGGAAGCCAAGGAATAATCCTTTATTAATATTCAAAACCACTAAATGGCCACTTAGAACTGTGAAACTGTGCATCCATTAATTTTCATAATGTGTCTATGGATTTGCCTACTCTGGAAACGTCTCATGAATGGGATTACATAGTGTGTGGTCTTCACTAACTGACTTCTTCCCTTGCTGTGTTTTCTAGATCCCTTCGCTGTAACGTGTCTGTACTCCTTCCCGTGGTGAAGGTATTCTGTTGTGCGGATCCACTCCTCAGCCGGTGTGAACCCCTTCTGGTTGTGATGAATATGCTATGTGCACTATGTTCAGTGCTTTTGGGTGTGGACCTGGGCATGGAATTGCTGGGTCCTGAGGTAAAGAGCTCTACTTGCCTTTGTGAGGGATGTGTGGCCTCTGTCCAGAGAGTCTGCTCTGTCTTCTTCTCTAGCAATGCAGGAAGGACAGTTTTGATTTCTCCCAACATTTTTTTTTTTTTGGGACAGGATCTTCTTTTTCTTGTCCTTTTCCCAGGTGCTAAGATTACAGATTTGCATCATGGAGCCCTTTCTTTAAAAAAATAAATAAATAAATAAAATCCTATTTATTTATTTAGCTAGCGTGCTGGCTGATTTTATGTCAAGTTGACACAGACTAGAGTCATCTGAGAGAAGGGAGCCCCAACTGAGTAAAGGTCTCCACAAAACTGAGCTATAGGCAAGCCTGTAGGGTGTTTTCTTAATTAGCGATTGACTGTGTGTGTGTGTGGGGGGGGGGCTGTCCAGCCCATGGTGGGTGGTGCTGGTGACATTTCTGGGCCGATGGCCCTGCGTTCTACAAGAGCGCAGGCTGAGCAAGCCAAGGGAGGCAAGCAAGCTGCACTCCTGCATGGCCCCTACATCAGCCCCTGCCTCAGGTTCCTGGCCAGTTAATTCCTGCCCTGGCTCCCCTCAGTGATGGCCTATTACCTGGGAGTATAAACTGAAACAAACCCTGTCCTCCCCAAGTTGCTTTGGTTACAGAAATAGTAACCAGGACAGAAATTGGTACCAGGAGAGTGGGGTGCTGTTTCGACAGACCCACCACGTTGTTTGGGAGAACTGCGAAGGACTTTGGAACTCTGGGCTAGAAAAGCCATTGAGGATGGAGAGCTCAGTGAGCTGTTCTGTGGGAACTTGGGAGGGAAGAATATTGAAAGCAGTGAGGATGACGGAGGCCTGGCCTGTGAAGTTTCACAGGGAAGCAAAGATGGCAACGGGCCCTTTGTGTGAACAATCTGTGGTGTCTGGTCAGCTGAGGCTGAGGACTCAGCCGTGATTAACAAGAGACCAGAACCACTAAAGCAAAACAGTTTCTCATTTATTAATTTCTTAAGGGCAAATATAGCTCTTTGCCTTACTGATTTAATACTTAAGATTTTATTTTGCTTTGCTGGGACAGTTGATGCTGATCAGCTGGAGCTGAGAAATTAGCAACACCATCTTCTGGGAGGTGTTCCTCAAGGTCAGCAAAAACTGTTCTAGATGTGGCCTAGGTTGTATCTTGAGCTGGCAACCAAACTTGGTGGTGTAAGAGTCACCCAGGCATGAGAGGTCATGGAGAGCAGCTGAGCCTTGGCGCCGTGAGAGGCCGGGAGGGCCCATTGGGGGTAGCGCAGCCTTGGTGGCAGTTAAAGGCATGGGATTGAAGGGGTCATGCTGAAGACGGTGGACACCATGAAGAGAGCCCAGGAGAGGCTTGTGGTAGTTTGAATGTCCCATCAGGAGTGGCTCTGTCGGAGGAGGTGTGGCCTTGTTGGGGGTCCCTGTGGGGGTGGGCTTTGAAGTTTCCTGTGCTCAGCATACTGCCCAGTGTGACAGTCAACTTCCTGTGGCCTGCATATCAAGATGTAGCCAGCGTCACATCTGTCTGCACATGCCACGCTCCCCACCATGACGATAGTGGACCGAACCTCTGAAACTGTAAGCGAGCCACCTCAGTTCAATGTTTTCCTTGTAAGTTGCGGTGGTCATGGCGTTTCTTCACAGCAATAGAAACACTAATTAAGACAAATGACATGTAGTTGGTTTGGGACATTTGGGCTGTTTCCAGTGTTTAGTTACTTAGAGAATGAGCATATACTCTTTTATAATGGAAAAAAAAAAAGCTACTAAAAGCAATTTTTAGTATCGTCAGCAAACCTATTTATGGAGCTTGTTCTCAGAGAACCCAAGGACAGCTGCTGTCTTTCCCAGTCACTTTGAATTGTCCAAAAGTGCCCCAACCTCCTCCTGAAGGTTCCTTGCCACAGATTAACCCTGGCTAAGAATTGCCATTGAATTCCCTTAGCTTTCTGTTGTCTGGTTTTGTTTTTGTTTTTCTGGTGTGAATAGTATTGTGACCAGCACAGGGTCTTGGCATTATCAAGGGCATGGGCCTGGAATGTTCCCTGTGTTCAGATCATGGCCATTTAATCCTTAGGGCATGTTGGGATGCGGGTGGTTGTGGTGGTGGAGTGAGGCAGGAGAGATCCGAGCGCCTAAGACATCTGTGGATGAAGCTTGTTTGTGTTTTCCTGTTGTTTGCTTTGCTTGTTTGGGCCAGTCTCTTACATAGCCCAGGCTGGCCTTGAACTCCCAGCTTTCTGCTCAGCCTCCCCAGCACAGGCCAATGCTGGCTACACTTTTCCTGTGTTAA